TCTATCTATCTATCTATCTATCTATCTATCTATCTATCTATCTATCTATATGTCTGTCTGTCGTTATATCATTCTATCTTTCTATATATAGTTCTACAGTATTCAATGCATTGGGAGTGAGATGCTCAGGATTAGGCATTCTTGGGACACAATCCTCTCCGCAGTGAAGTTAAGTGATAGGGAGTCGATGACATAACCAAGGCGTCTGCCGTAGTCTCCGGGCTTGTGTGAATTTTCCTGAAGCTATTTTTAGGGCCTATTGGAGGGATTGCGGAAGCTGACGGCAGCGCTTCTGCCTCCACTTGAATCGGTTCGGTTCGAGCTTGAAATTTGGAGTAAACAATTCACTGTAGAGCGATCGAGGATGGACGCGTGTTGTTCTCCAACATAGCAAGTTAGCGGAAAAGCGGTAAGAGAGAACGAACGTGCAGAAATCATAGTTTATGAAGCTGTTTGTGAATATTCCCAGCACGGCACATCCATTCACTGCCGACTGGCACACGCCTCGCCTCGTTCTCACCATGTATAGTGATGGGACCGCGCTGTTGTTGTGGAATATACAGTGAGACTTCATTTTCATTGATATGCCTTCAGCTGACGCTTATATTCGAAGCTACTTGCAAACGATTCACAACATGTGTGGAAGCTTAACAGATTGGTTATAGAATTAATCGCCAGCTAAACAAATGAGGTAAAACATCACATGTTGTCAGGATACATTTCTATCTATGTGTCTTTGCTATTGCTATATACAAGGCCATTTTTCTAACTTATGAATATACCTTTTTTAATTTAAAGGAACAGTTCACCCCCAAAAAATTGCTCACCTTAAAGCAATCAAAAATGTAGATTAGTTTGTTTCTTCATCTGAACAGAATTTGAGAAAGTTAGCATTACATCACTTGCTTAACAGTGGCTCCTCTGCAGTGAATGAGTGCTGTTAGAATGCTGTCCAACCATCTGATAAAAACAACTGGAGTCCTGTGGATTACTTGTGGATTATTGTGATGTTTTTATCAGATGGTTGGACAGCATTTTTACGGCACCCATTCACTGCAGAGGATCCATTGGTGAGCAAGTGACAAATGCAATTTTTTTGTAAATCTGTTTAGATGAAGAAACAAACTCATCTACACTGCTCGGGACGGATAGTTAGCTAATATGATTGTCAACAATGTTGTGATGTTGAGTGTTTTGCTGCTGAATGAGGTAGGTCAGATATTCAGAACAGTTTGAATCATCCCAGAGTACTGCATAAATGTCCACTACTAAATAAAAATACAGTATATGTTTTTTTTTCTTTTAAAGGGGTCATGACATACAAGTTTTTTTTTTCGTTTGTTCAATTCGTTCAGTTGAACATATACTGGCTTAGAAGGAACCCTGTGGCTCATGAATATGAGATTGTAATGCTGAATTTATACTTGTCAGAAGAGGGATTGTCTGAGAACCTCACTAAGTATTGATCATTGTCTGAAATGTCTCTTTTCATATGATAAACACACACTAAACAAAAGTAAAACTATACATTTTCATGATTCGACCACTTTAATGAAAATTACATCTGATCTATACAAGCAAACCATAAGCAATGGGGAATTGTATGAGTTATTATTCTAAAGACAAGTATAAAGGATCCGCCTTGTGGTCTGTCGAGGGATGTGTTCTGTGGGATGTTGACAGAGAGAGTGCTCTGGAGACGCACATCTGAAATAGACTGCCGAATACCCTCTCATGTCCTCAAGAACACTCTGTGACACCCATTTCTGGTTATGATCACTCAACTGAATCATGAGCTTTGACAACAGCACCAGTCATGGGCTGTCATGTTTCATATGTGGTAGAATTTAGATCTATCTCCCTCACTCACACTTCTGCATATTCCCGGATGGATCTGGCATGCACACAGGAATAATAGAGTCAAAGGCATAGACCAAAAATAGAAAAAAATGTAAATGTATATGTAACATCATAATGGAAGGTAAAAACAGTAGGGATCTTGTTTTTAGCCTATCAGCACGTTTTTGCTCTGGCAAATGACAAAAAACAAGGTAGATACTGAGGTGTAATTCTGTTAGTCCTCTGTCAACAATGTTGGCTTCCTCTCCAGTGCTCTGAGACCGCAGTGGCGGCACAGCCTGTGCTCTAGAGCAGCCCGCTCTGTCTGCATGTATCCTCATCTCTCAACAGGAAAGCTGTGCTCACTCGACCAAAGGGAAAAAAAGGATGAATTGTATTGTATAGTCTCTATTGCTGATAGATAGATATTTTTTTCATCATCAACACTGTTTATAGATTCAACAGTGTAGTAGGGCCAGATAGATGCGATGGGACTGATAGTAGCAAAGATCTAAAAATAAGGTATAGATATTACCAGTGAGTTTATGCCTCCTTTTTTCTGAGTATCTCCACCACCATAAAAGATCTGTGTTAAAATCCTTCCCAGTAATAGTTTTATTTATATTTTATATTATATTTTAATAAAAAAAATGAATACAATGGATATAGAAAAAATTACCCCCCTTTTAAAACAATCACATTTTGTTGCTTTGCAGCCTGAAATGAAGACGGACACAGTTTTTGCTTTATCCAGCTGTATTTACTCAGTGCAACTTGTAACATCTAAATGAAAGATATAACACCAACAAGAAAACCAAAAACAAGAATCACAGAGTTGGAAAAAAGGATCACCCCCCCTCCTAAAAATGACTTGTAAACTCAATCAAGTGTAGCTAATCATCTTCTCAATGCACACAAAGCCATTTGACTTTCACTTGTGATCTGCTGTGGTCATTTTGATTAGCTCAGCATGAAAGGAGATTTCCTGGAGCATTTCAGTCCTTGGTAGTGCAACTGAAGCAAACAGTCAACTATGAGTACCCATTAAAAGATTTCCGGGATAAAGTTGTGGACAGGCACAAGTCAGGAGATGGATACAAAAAAATGTCAAAGGCTTTATCAATGCCTAGAAGCAGTGAAATCTGTTATTAAGTGGAAGGTATTTGGCACAATACAGACCCTCCCTGGATCAGGACGTCGCTCCAAACTGGATGAAAGAGCCAGGAGGAAACTGATCAGAGATGCTACCATGAGGCCTACAGCTGCTCTGAAGCAGTTGCAGGAATTTATGACAAAGAGTGGTCATTGTGTGCATGTGACAACAATATCACAAATTCCCCACAAATGTGGCTTGTATGGGAGGATTGCAAGAAAAAAGCCACTCCTCAAGAAAGGCCACATGCAGTCACGACTGAGCTTTGCCAAAACGCTCCTTGAAGATTTGACCCTCCCTGGATCAGGACGTCGCTCCAAACTGGATGAAAGAGCCAGAAGGAAACTAGTCATAGAGGCTACCAACTCTGAAGCAGTTGCAGGAATTTATGACAAAGAGTGGTCATTGTGTGCATGTGACAACAATATCACAAATTCTCCACAAATCTGGCTTGTATGGAAGGGTTGCAAGAAAAAAGACACTCCTTAAGAAAGGCCTCATGCAGTCACAATTGAGCTTTGCCAAAACGCACCTTGAAGATTCTGAGGCAGATGAGACTAAAATTTAAAGCTGCAGTCCGTAACTTTTTTGTGTTCAAAATTTATATAATAAGCGAGTACACCATGAATCCATTTTCCAAACCGTGTTTTTTGGCATTTCCTGAATCACTACGGTACACCTATAATAAGTGTTTATATTCTGACTATTTAGACTGGTTCGGGTAGGTACCGCTGCGGAGTAGCCCAGTACCTGCGTGATTCGCCATAGACATAAACAGAGAGAAGTAGCTCCGGCTACAATGTTCTTCCGCAAGACGCACGCAGTTCTGTTT